GGCAGGGTGGGGTGGAGAGTAAATCATAAAATGGAGCCATTGGGATGGTTGTCCTTGGGGCAGGTGTGAAATTACCCATGGCCACTTCCAGGGGAACCGAGGCAGGAGGTGCTTAGAGCTGGCCTTCTGTCCTGGTGAGGCTGACCCTGCTCCGCCCATTTCCAGCCCACGTTCCCCGCCTGCTGCCAGAGGGGTGATGAACGAAGAGTGGGGATGCGGACTTGGGGGAGAAAATCCCTATCCTGTGGGATCGTGTCTTTCAAAAAAAGCATTTCAAAAAAACTGGCTGAAGAAAGGTTTTAAAAAAATCATTAATTGGGGTTTCAATTGAAATAATTAATGAATAAAACTGTCCCAAGCCCCAAACCCAGTAGGAACCCCAGCAGGAGGCAAGAGCAGAAAGAGCAACAGTAGCCCTCGGGGCTCTTGAAGAGGGGCCATTCCTCCAGGCAGGGAAGGTCCAGCCTGGCAGCTTCTTGACTCAGTTTCCATGCCAGGGGGTTACAAGGGCAGCAAATCAAAAACCAGGAAATGATTTGGCCTGAAAAGAAAACTTGACTCCCGATGAGGGAATTCCAACAGCAGATTCCCGGTCCTTTATTTTCACTCCCACTAACAATGGAACATGTGGGCAGCACCCTGGGGACCCTTGTGACCGTCCCGGTACCCACTGGTGGAGGCTGAGTTTCTGCGTGAATCAGATCCACAGTGATCCGAAAAAGCGCAGACTTCTTTAAAGCCCTCATTTTAGAAAGCGTGATCGTACTCGGAGTGCCGTCAGCCGAGATTCTGTGTGCGTGTAGAAAACGAGATGCCGTGTAGGTGCGTCGTGGTGCCCCGGAAAGTTCCAGTTTCTAACAACTTCATTCACGTGCACAGCGTGTATTTTCCCCACAGAGTCGGAAGCAAGAGCCCTGGCCAAGGAGAGGCAGAAGAAGGACAATCACAACCTGAGTAAGTACCCGTTTCCCTTCGAGTTGCTCCACGTCGGAGCTGGCCCGCGCGCCCCTCGTCAGAACCTTGCCGGAAATCATGCACGATCATTGATTTCTGGAGCTGTCAAAGACGTGGGGAAAACCGTATCTCAGAGAAACCAGGGTGTGTGTTTCATCTCAGGCCTAACTGAATTCCGCATTTATCCCCGCATTTGGTTTCCAAAGAGTTAGCTCTTCTGTGGATGTTTGAGGTGGTGTTTCTTTTTCCTTTTTTTGCAAGAGGGGGAATCGATCCCCAAGTACCCCATTAGAAGTGATGCTCACACTGGAACTTACTATTAACAAGCGGGGAGCTGGGGTCTCCTTCTCCAGGGAGATGAGAAAGATAGAAAAGAAAGACCCCTGGGGTCCCCTGGGACGGTCGCCTCCCCCACTTCCCACCGTACCTGTGACTCCGAGAAGTCCTGGAACATGCACAGTGCCTTTGTGTGTCTAACTGACTCTCCATCCAATCTTTAGACCTTTTCCTCTGAAAACTTGAATTCCTGTTTAATACGTGCATGTGAGGGCGGTGGCCTTGGGTGCAGGAGGGAGTGTAGGTGAACTTCGCATCTCATAACATCACACCTCTGCTTCCTAAGCTGATTTTTAAGAACATGAGCCATAAATTAACACTTCCCCCTGATAAGAGATGGTGGAAGCTGGGTGCAGCGGCACACACCTGAAATCCCAGTGGCTCAGGAGGCTGAGGCAGGAGGATCACAAGTTCAAAACCAGCCTCAGCAAAAGTGAAGCGCTAAGCAACTCAGTGAGACCCTGTCCCTAAATAAAATAGAAAATAGGCCTGGAAATGTGGCTCAGTGGTCGAGTGCCCCTTAGTTCAATCCTCAGTATCCCCCCCTCCCCGAAAAGAAAATGGTGGGAAGTGGCAGGTCCTTGAATCCCAGGGACAGGCTCTGTGTTTCCATTTGACCCAACAGGTGCTAGTTGGACACATTTGCTACCTCATATGCCCTGCTATGTCACCCTCCTGCCCTAGGAGACAGATTAATTGAGTATGCAACTAGGGGCTTGGGGGAAGAACACATTACCATGCGTGCCATGGTCAGTAGTACTGGGCTTCAGTTCCAGGGCCGTGCCCTCTGGTGTGTGGTGACTCACCACCGTGCCTACTGGACACTGGACACTTGAAATGTGATCAGTCCAGACTGTGCCGAGCTTTCAGTATAAAATACACTTGGACAAAGCTGGGTGATCCCAGTGACCCGGGAGGCTGAGGCAGGAGGATCGCCAAGTTCAAGGTCAGCCTTGGTGATTTAGTGAGACCCTGTCTCAAAAAAAAAAAAAAAAAATGCTGGGGATGTAGATCAGTGGTTACAAGCCCCTGGGTTATACCCTAGTACCAAAAGGAAAAGAGAAGGGAAAAGAAGGAAAAAAAAAGAAAAGAAAGAAAAAGAAAGAGAGAAAGAAAGAAAGAAGATAACTTACAAAGTTTTGCATTGACTCCCTGTTGTTATTATGGTAGTTTGGTTGTAGTGGATTTAGCAAAATATCGTAATTAATTTTATCTCTTTGTTTTGAACTATTTTAATAAGGTGAACTATTTTAATAAAGCTACTAGAGAATGGGCTATGCTCCATGAGTTAAGAATGTTGTTTTTTACATGTTTAAGTTGTTAAAAGGAAATCAGAAGAAGAGTGATATTCATGGTATGTGAAAACCACATATAATTCCAATTTCCCCATCGCAAGTAATTCCCATGCTTTTGCTTAGTAGCCTTGCAGTGTAAAAATTGTACTCAGTGGATACTGTTTTGATTTTTGTCCGTAGAAAATCGTGGGAATTCATTTTCCCATCAGCCATTTAAGTACCTACTCAGTTTGGGTGCCGGGAAGCAGGACCTCCCTGTGTGGTGCTGTGAGCATGCCCAGCCCTGCTCCCTGGAGGCAGCTTGCAGTTCGACAGTTCCCTGCTCCCGGCTGGCCGCCCTCTCCAAGCCCCTGACATCTCCAGGGAGGCTTTGTCCCTGGTGACCCTGGGCAGTAATTCTGATTTCAAGGTTGTTATAGGGTAAAATGAGAAATCGTATGTCTGATAGAGCTCTGTATCCAAGGAGCTCATTTTAAAAGTGCTTCAGTCTCAGTGCCCCAGACATGGTAAGGACAGGGGGACACAGGTTTGGATTTACAGGGTCCCGACCCGGGGGGTTAATGTGCTCATAGCTTTAACAAGACGTGCGGCATGCATCTGTGGAGCTCTTCCTAATCGCCCTTTCCTCTGCTCTTTTCTTCAAGTTGAACGAAGAAGAAGATTTAACATAAACGACCGCATTAAAGAACTAGGTACTTTGATTCCCAAGTCAAATGATCC